TCTACTCTTACCATCTTCCAACCATCTCTTTACTCACTAGCCTTAATGCTCTTAAAATGAAAATGGTTAAAATCTCTCAATAGCTTCCCATTTTACCTAGAATAATTCTAAAACACAACTCCTTACTATGACTTCTTTTCTTCTCTGTGGGATGTGGTCCCTAATCATCTTTCAAACCTTACATTGTGTAACTCTCTTCTGTATTCGGTAAGCTCCAGTCACACTGAACACACAGTTCTCCAAATGTGTCAAGCCCATTTCCTTTCAAGATCACTGCCTAGGCAGTTCCCTGTACCCAGAATGCAATTCTTCTGACTCTAAGGATTAGCTTTTTCCTCCCTGGAATGTGGTTCAAATGCCACCTCCCACTCTAATGAAATTACAAATTGATCAAAACACTATAGACACAGTATGTCAAAGTATGTTGCACACTTCAAATATGCATTATTTTTTATTTTAAAAAAGAAAGTGATATATGAATAGACAATTTAATTAAACTTAATGTATAAGTTTAGTTTCATTATAATTGCACTTTGGGCAAAGTCATCTCATTTTGATTACTTAACTATATGTACTGATCTCCACCATATTTATACTTCCAAAAAAATGTGGAGTCAAAGAGAAGGAAGAAACTTCTAAGTACTGCTGGGGTCTGGTTGATGTACCATGTACATACAATACAATCTATTCTTTCACCATTTGGGACAAGGGCAGTTTGCAGTGAGAAGTACTCAGGTATGTGTACCTGCGATGGGGAAAGGAGGTTGGGAGAAGGAAATACAAGAAACCTACAATGCTTTCTGTCCTAGTTTATACTGGCAACGATGAATAAAGAAACAGAAGTGTATTTCTACTCTAATTTTTTCTTAGTGTTTAATTTTGTAATAGAAAGGTAATGCAAAATCATACAGAAAAATTTGAAAATATTAAAAATTAAAAGATGTAAATATTAATTTTGTCCTATACCTTAGATATATATTTTTCCTCTTAAGAAAGTCCAAATAAAGCCACTTTGTTCACATTACTTTTGCTTAGAAGAGGTCCTTAGGGAACACTATGATTTCTGAAGATTAAAAAGTTTTTAGATAATAGTTTTAAACCCAGAGCAAACACTACTTACATGATCAGTGCATATCAATGACATTTTATCTTTCTACTTTGAGTACTAATCATAATGACTAGTTACACAGTGACTTACTCTAATTTGTAATTTTATGATAAAATTATATTGTTGGTTGTTTTTACACTGACACTTAATGAGAAGGCATGTGATTATAATATCTTTTACCTTTACAACTATGAATAGTTTATCCCTAAAATGTTATCTAGGTGAAAGGTCTTTTAGAAATACACCACTTTGCAAATCATCCAGTTTCTCTCATTTAACAAAGTTTTTAATATTTCCAGTAAAGTTCACTCGAACTTTGTGAAATTATTTAACTCATCCATTTCTATGAGAACTATATTTAGTTCGTGAATAATACTTATGGAAGTATAATTAATTTTAGTCTATGAACTTTATTAGGCAGATATTTTTTTCTGCTCAGGTATACTCACCTGTATTCACATACAACTCAGTGGATTTTACATTCAATTCATTCAAATTAATAAATTCAATGAGAGTAACAATTCAGACTACTGTTTTGCTTGTTTACTTAATTTGTCCTGAGTTCCCTGGAAAAATATAGAAGATCAATTCACACAATCTTAGTAGTAAAATGAGTTCACTGGACTCTTGAATGCAAACCATATTTGGCTTGAATGAATTATTTTAGTTTCTGATTATTTTTGGAAACATGACCTGAGAAATAAATTAATTCTTTTAGGCTATACAGTACTATTTGCTAAAGCAGAGTAATCTTTGAATAAATGGACCCCTGGTGGCTACTAACCACTGTAATTGATATACATGGTTACTTACATATGAAACAAGATTATGCTTTATATTCACCTAAATGTCCAGTACAGAAATAAAAGCTCATACAGAGAGAAGGTAAAATCTGTAATTTTTTAATAAAAATTGACAACGCCTCATAAATATTGTGGTCTTAAACAGGGAAAATTAATGGAATAAAAGAAATTTGAACACAAATCATGTTTTCACTTACTTAATCAGATGAAGTGATCTAGGAAGCAACTCTACTTTCTGATCGATTCAAGGAGGTTTAGGTAATAGGAAGAGAGAGTCAAATTGATTTATTTTGTCTTTATAGTGCAGAGCTTCAGAGCCAGTTAAAGGACAAGAGATGCTTCCTATAGTCAACTTATCTCAGTACCTTGTTAAGCACCATGTTAAAAATGAGGTAGTTCACTTTTTTTGTCATTATCATCATTTCACCCTAAGTACGGGAAAATAAGAAAGGAGAAGAAAGTGAATCTACTCATTTTAACTCTGAAGGATTTTATATAATTTGTAAAAATAGATGGGCAACATTTAAAATTTTACTTTGTGAATACTCTTCATCAGAAAAGAAGTCACATAAAAATGAAATTTTACCTTCTGTAACACCTTTAAAATATAAAATATAAACCCCATTACCTCTTAAGACAAGTTATGAGGAAGATAAATGCTATCTCCTTAAATAGGAATCTTATTACTAATATTCACTATCATGTGTATACCAAATCTAATTTATATTTTATTTTTATATTGTATACACACTGTAATACCCTATCATGTCATTTATGAAACTACAAATTAAGAAATCATCTCCAAAATGTTAGTCAGGATAACGTCAACAAAGTTTGACACTTTGTTAATAACCATTAGTGTGATGATTTCAGTAGTCAAAAGTTATCCCAAAGTAACAAAAGGTATAATTTCTAATCACTATGAGTTTAGGCTGTATAAAGCATTTTATAAGCAATCATTTGTGTCTGATAAAAACATCTGAGCCCATTTTCTCTATCATCTTACGTTGAAGAACTCTAAATTTTACCCAACTTAGCCTTTAGGTACTATATATTATCCAAGCATAATCTTATGCATGGCCTGTGTTTATATCATAATGATGAAAATTCAAATTAAGAGTTTTAGTAGTCTATCTTTAATGATCCTACTTAACAGACGGGAAAACTGAGTAATACTCATTCATAGACATTAAGATAAGCTAACTGATAAAAACATATAAATCACATTTATTTGGTAGATATTTTAGGTAAGATGTCTTTTTAAAGTATAGGAAAGTCATTACAATAAACAAAAATCATTCCAAGAGGTTAACAAATAACTCCTCTACACCCTTAAATTCGATATGACTGTGTGAAAGGTCACACTTTAACGTATGACACATTTTGGTAGAATGGCTCTTTAGTCATTTGGAGATTCTGATATGTGTTTTATTTATGTTAATTTCCCCAGGGTCTTGGATGGTAACTGGTGTATCATAGATACTTAATGAAAAACTAAATTGTTGATTTAGGGAAATTGTTGCATGGCGATAAGTGTCTGTTAAAGGTTTCTAGTAAATGACTCTCTTTTGAATGTGGCCACTAAAGAGATGTATATTAACACACTACATACTAGATATAGTAGAACATAAATGTCTGACTTTCTGGTTATTAAAGATTGTTTTTCTCTCCCTGCAAACAAAGGTCCAAGTAAATAATTTTACGTTTTTTACAATCTTTTATTTTCGCAGAGGTATATTAAGTAACTACCCCTTCAATATGTAATGCCAATAGCCTTTGAAAACGAATGAGAAACATGGGTGAAGGTAAACACCTCCATAAGCAAGTATGGCACTGTAGGTGGCACTTATGTGACATATCTTCAAAGGCATGACAGTTTTGTATGATTTCCAAATCTACATATGCATTTGCAATCTGGCAGGTAAAAAAAAAAAAAAAAAGAACAAAACAAAACAGAAATAATCAGGGAAACATGTCAAAAGTACCAGCTGTATAAAACGAACTGGATATCGCTTCTGAATAATGTTTCCAAGTAAAATAAAGTGGCCATACGTCTGCGACAAAAAAGAAGGCTGTGTTGCTTTACCTGCCTTCTCCTTTAACCTTCTCACCCTCACAAGGCAAATGCACACTTCCACGTCATCTAACCTCCATTGTTATATGTGCAAATTATTTCGAGGCCTTATATAGAGTTAAATGGTAACTCTAACCCGAAGTCTTACATTTGAGGTCTTCAGAAAAGTGTGACATAACAGGTGACATATTGATGGTCATCACAGCACCAGTGAGAGCATCCGGCCAGGTACATGCTGCAAAACTTTTACGATTGTTCGCCTCTTAGTTCAAGGCATTTGGACTAAGGAGGTGACGTTCTTACAGACCCTTAGGCGTTTCCCAGCAGAAATCCAAGGAGATGGGTCTTACGGGGATTGCTGAATACAAGGACAGGAAGTGTCCAAGAATTCCCTGCGCTTTCCATTTGCTAAGCCTGACTTTCACTTGCACACACTCTTCAGTTTCACTCCACCTACTGAGACAAAGTCTTTTTTCCTAAAAAAAAGACAATCTGTCAGCGACTCGACTTTAGGATATCCCCCAACTTGGAAATGCACACCTGCTGTGGGCGCCCCCGCGCCCACCCCCACCGCGCCATCTCCTAAGGGGACCCCACGGAAGCCTGGGGACCTGGTCCAGGAATAACCGGGAACCGGCGGACCTTGGCCGCGGACGGGGCAGGGCGCGCGGCGGCGAGCGCAGCAACCCCCGCCGCCAAGGGCTGCGGTCCGGTCCCCGCGGCGGGCGAGGACCCGGGGGGGCCCGGGGGCCCGGGGGGCCCGGGGGGGCCCGGGGCCGCGCCGCGACAGCCGCCGGGGAGCCGAAGGGAAGGGGCCGCACCTCGGGAGGTCGCCGCTGCCGGCGCCCGAGACGGGACCCCCGACCTCCCGGCGCCCCGGCCGGGTTCCCCGCGGGAGGCGAGCAGCGCGCGGGCCCGAGCCCCCGCCGCCCCCGGCCCGCCCCCGGCCCGCCGCCCCCGGCCCGCCGCCCCCGGCCCGCCGCCCCCGGCCCGCCGCCCCCGGCCCGACCCTTACCTTGGTTGCTGGAGACGTGGCTGCAGCCGCCCGGCCCCGCTGTCAGCAAAGGCAAGAAGAAGCCGAATTGCCAAAGAAATTCCCGGACTTCGCAGCCCCCCATGGCTCTCCCGGGCTCTCGGCGTCTCCCACTTGGAGGCAAGTGACAGCAGCGCGGCCAGGTGCGGTGCGCAGGGTGCGGGTCCCGCTCCCCGTCCGCCGCCGCCGCCGCCGCCGCCGCCGCCGCCCGGCCCGCAGGGGTGTCCCGGGGCGCCCCCCGCGCGAGGCCCCGGGGGCAGGGCGCCAAGGTCCAGGCTGCCCGGGAGCCGGCGCAGCGGTGCCGGGGGAGGACGCGGGCCGCGGCGCCAGGGAGCTCCCGGCGGCTGCGAGCGGGCGGAACCGCATCCACCGCCGCGTCCCGCTCGCGCGAGGACTATTCACTCGGGCCCGGGAGAGCGCGCGCGCAGGAGCGAGCCCGGGCTGCGCGGGGGAGGGGCGCGCGGGGGAGGGGGAGGGCGCGGGGCGGGGGCGGGGGCGCGGGGCGGGGGCGGGGGCGCGGGCGCGGCGCGGGGCGGGGCGGGCCGAGCAGGTGCGGCGGCCCGTGCGGGCGCGCGAGCCGAGCCCCCGGGGGAGGCGCTGCCCTGGCCGCTGGGGCCCGAGCCGGCGAGCGCGCCGAGCCAGTCCCCCCCGAGCCAGCCCCCCCCCGAGCCAGCCCCCGCCGCGGCCCGGCCCCCGCCTAGGAGGCGACGGCGGCGGCTCGCGGCGCGGACTCCGCCACCTCCGCCGCTCGCGCGACGCGCCCCGGCCTGGGCGGCCGCTGTGCGGGCATCTCGGGGCCGCACCCGGTGCCCCGCTCCCCCCCGCTCCCCGCTCCCCGCTCCCCGCTCCCCGCGGCGGCGCCCGGCGTGTCGGGCCGGTCGGGCTTCTCCGTGCGCCGGGGGCGGGAGCCTGGCGCGGCCGCCGACCCCCCCCCTCCGGCGCGGTCGCCCGAAGTCGCCCACGAGGGCGAGCGCCTCAACTTTGTGCCGCCTCCGCTGCTCCGGGTCCCAGGACGCCGAAAGGGGCGAGCGGCAGCCGGGAGGGTCCGAGCAGGCTGCCGAGGTCGGGGCGCGGCCGCGCGGCGCTGACTCGGCGGGGAGGGCGCGGGCCTTCGGGGTCCCCGCGAGCCCCCCCCCCCCCGGCCGAGCCCCCCGAGCCCCCGCCGGCCCCGTCGGAGCGCGCTGCGAGCAGCCGGCGGGGAGCCCGAGGTCGGCGGCCAGCCGAGCGCTGCCCCCCGGGCCGCCCCCGCCCCCGCCCCCGCCCCCGCCGCCCGCCTGGCTCCCGGCGGGCCGGGGGTCCCGGGGCTGCGGGGGGCGCCCCGGCGGGCGAGGCGGCTCGGGCCGCCGGCTCGGCGCTAGAGGGGGTTAGTCGACAAGGGAAAGGCCTCCGCGGCCGGCAGGTGGAGACGGCTCCTCGTCTACGGGAAACAGGAAGGGGCGAGGCGCTCACGCGAAACTTAATGCGGGTTTTTGGGGATTTTTTTATTTGACATGTTGTGTTTTTAGGGCGGCGCGGAGCCACACCCATCGGCAGTGTGCGGGTTCCGTGACCGGTTGTCGGCGGTCCTTATCGTTGGCGTCCCCGCGCTCCTTGTGCCACCGTCGCGTGAGGTCCACGAGCCCGCCCCAACCCAGAATGTTCGGAGGGAGCGTGTGGCCGCCGAGACGGGCGGACGGGCGGTCGGGCGGCGGGGAGCGGAGTTGCCCGGGGCGGGCGCGGGGCCTGGCGGGGCTCAGAGGGGCGCGGGGCTCGGCGGGGCTCAGAGGCGCTCAGGGGCGCGGGGCTCGGCGGGATCAGCGGGCTCAGAGGGGCTCAGGGGCGCGGGCTCGGCGGGTCAGAGGCGCTCAGGGGCGCGGGGCTCAGAGGGGCGCGGGGCTCGGCGGGGATCAGAGGGGCTCAGAGGGGCTCAGGGGCGCGGGGCTCGCGGGGTCAGAGGGGCGCGGGGCTCCGCGGGGCTCAGAGGGGCTCAGCGGGGCTCAGAGGGGCGCGGGGCTCGGCTGGGCTCAGGGCGCTCAGGGGCGCGGGGCTCGGCGGGGATCAGGAGCGCGGGGCTCCGCGGGGCTCCGCGGGGATCAGCGGGGCTCAGAGGGGCTCAGGGGCGCGGGGCTCCGCGGGGTCAGAGGGGCGCAGGGTTCAGCGGGGCTCAGAGGGGCGCGGGGCTCGGCGGGGCTCAGAGGCGCTCAGGGGCGCGGGGCTCGGCGGGGCTCAGGAGCGCGGGGCTCCGCGGGGATCAGAGGGGCTCAGGGGCGCAGGGCTCAGAGGGGCTCAGGGGCGGGGCTCAGAGGGCGCGGGGCTCAGGGGCGCAGGGCTCAGAGGGGCTCAGGGGCGCGGGGCTCCGCGGGGTCAGAGGGCGCGGGCTCAGAGGGGCGCGGGGCTCGGCGGGGCTCAGCGGGGCGCCTACTAGGCCGCCCAGCCGGGCAGCGAGCAGCCGAGCGAGCCCCCGCCGCTTGCAGGATCCTCCGTGCGCTGCGCCGCACGCTGCGGTGGCGCGTGGTGGATGCTAGTAGAAGTTGGGTTGTTTGGAGGCAGAGAGAGGAGGACAGCGAGAGGCCCAGAACCGCGACCTGCCAGGGGCCCTGAGAACTAAGGCAGGTTCCGACTGGTGACCGTACCCGGCCGGGCCTCCTCAGCAATCCCAGCACAGCCTCTCTTTAAGGCGTCCGCGCGGTTTCCATGCGCGCATCAGGCTCCCGCGTTGGTGCTTGGAGGAGCAAGACTCGTGCAGCTCCTGACTGCAGCAGGCTCAGCTGGGGCTGAATGATCACGAGGGCGTCGGCAGGCAGGCTCGGTGCATGATTTGCAGACTGTGAAGTTAAAAAGGCTGCATTATAATGTGAGTCGTTAGGGCTGAATAAACGATCTTAGAAAGGTTCAGGGTTCATCATACCGATGTTTTGTTGGAGCAATATTGTTTATCGTCCAAGAATAGATTTCTGCGGACTTTTTTAAAGTCAGATTTCAGTTTTTAAATTGGATTTCAGTCTTTACCCCTGCCTACAATTCATCGGCAGTTCACAATGTCTGTTTGTTTAAGTAAGTCATAGCGAAGCATGACATAATCTGTTAGTTACCTGGTCGGTCAGGTAATGGATAGTCCTACTCTGGGTTTGATTTTTAAGGGAAAAAAAAATTACAAGATTTTTATGGATATCAAAAGAAGATATGCTTTATGTATTTAGTTATTGTCGATTGCATGTCTAGAAGATAATGACCTCTTAGGGGGAAACTCATCTCAAAGAATATAAATGAAAATATAATTATCATCACCTTTGCAGTGAGATTCCAAAAGAACTACCATAACTAGTTGACCGTGGTTATACGTTATATGTACATATAAACATAGTTATGTACACACATATACACTCACAATGTAAATACGGATATTCATCCCCAAATATTTGTTGAGCTCCTTTATGTGCTCAGTTCTCTTCACTTAGAGAAGAGTTGATGATGTAAGGAAAAAATAATTTGTATTTAAAAGCTAACTTTTTATTTAAAATACAGTCACGGTTATCTTATGTGAGGTAGAAGCAATTCACTTAACAGTAATGTACTTCCTTTTTGACGTTTCTAGCAGTGTTGATATATTTGCTGACATGTGACAGTTTCGAGATTATAAGCCACTCAGTGAACCAGATGCAATATTCATGTAGATTTATCTGCACTTGTCTGTTTGAATCATACCCATATTCAGAAAAGCATTCATGTCTCATTTTTTCAGTGCTATATTCAGAATTCTTTTGTATTCTCTCAGACTGCTGTTCTTCATGATATATGGTACATATACCTGGTCTGGATTCAGGTAGGGATGATTAGATTTTCATTAAATAAAGAATATATGAGGTAAAGGGGATTAAGAGGTACAAACTTCCAGTTATAAAATAAATAGACCACAGGGATGGAAAAAGTACACCATAGGGAATAAAGTCAATAATATTGTAGATGGACGGTAACTACACTTATCGTGGCAAACATTTCGCAATGTATATAAGATGTCAAATCACTACAGTGTGCACTTAGAACTAAAATAATATTGTATGTCGACCAAAGTTCAATTAAAAATATGTATAATGCTAAAATTAGTCTAAGCTTTCATTTATAGTAGAAATAATAGTATTCACAAATACTATTTGCTTTTTAAAAATGATGAAAGAAAAGACTTAACCCGCAATTAATCCCTTTGAGAAAATAAGGATTATAATGTTTAATACTCAGCATGTTTCAAGGCTTGGGGAAGTCTTAGGCATTTTATTCTGGTAGAAGAGTAAATTAATCCATTTATATCTGTAATTTGCATTTTCTAAGGTCAACGTAGAAGCAACATAAATAAAAAGTGTTGATTCTCAGGTACGTCAAAACATCAGGTCTTAAAATATTAGTTTAGTACTTTGAAAAGATATAATTGTCTAAGTCTTTTTTGTTAATATAAAATTTAGAGATATGTTGCAAGCAGAATTACTGCTGTCATGTCATCAACTTTAAAGTACATATTCATTAAACGCTTAAGCTTTTTAACCATGTGGACCACTAAAATGAAGTTTTAAAAAATCCCAAAGTCAAATATAGTTAATTTGAGGCTCTTTGCTTTAGGAAAATATGCAATCAGAAGGAAAACACTTTAGAATTTTTTCTTTGATATTAGGAGGTAGTTAATATTTTTCTGAAAGAAGACATCCCAAACAGTGCTGAGTATTTTACTTTATAGTTAGTATATCCAGTCTTAAAAACGTCACAGAAAAAAAAGAATCAACCTGAGGCTAGATGAACAGTGGTTTATTCTGTTGTAATATTGTGCTTAGTTTTGTGTTGTAAGGTACTTTATAATAAAATATATGTACAAATATATATTGTCATATACATATTAAATATATGTGTGTGTGTTTAAGTGTGTTTGTAATTCAGTGAAAAGCTTCCCTCTAGTACTTTTCTAATTTAGCAATATTTACCAAGTGAGATTTCCATGTGTATCTGGGATAAGCATTATGGAGAAGGTACAAAGATTATTGGATTCAGTTCCTAACCATCAGAAGTTTATATTATATTGATGTCACAGACATGAATAATTCCAATACAAACTATTCTATTATCCCAGTGTGGAGTTTCAAATTATTGTAGTTAAGCAAGAGGAAAGGAATCATACCCTCACCCTCCAAGACATGGATCTCTACCATTACTACTTTTGCTTAAACTTTTGGCAAGGATTGGTTCACCCTCTGAAAGCTAATGCAAGAACCTGTACTACTGTCAAATACAATGCTGGAGGTTATACAGAATGGCCAGATGAGTCAGCCAGATTCAACTTAGCTTGCCTTTTTAATGAGACGTACTTAATAGTCTGTGTGGCATCAGGTATTCACAAAAATAAA